TGTATTTCCTGATTTAATATTCAGTGCATTAAATGCTATTTATGGATTAGTTTGGTTCAATAAAATGTATGTACATTTTGCTAGACACCGAGGATGTAAAAACGAGCAAGCTATCATCCCTGCCCTCAGAGAGCTCCCACTGCAGCAGGGACACAGAGAAATGTCATTTCAGTACCACTTTTTAAAGAGCAGGGTGGTGACATGTAATGACATGGTGCTGTGGGGACAGAGAAAAGGGACACTTGGTCCAGCCTGGCTAGGTAGTGTTGGGGTGCAGAGTCAAACAAGGATTTCTGGGGAAGGTGATGGCTGAACAAACCTCCAAAGAAGAGGAAAGTGACTTCTGGTGAGAGAAAACAGAATGAACAGTAACACAGCAGCATCAGATCACTAGCCTGTTGCCCTTTGGGGGATGGGAGTGGTAGTGATAGGAGATAAGATGTCCTTAAAATTTAAATGTTGGAGTCTCCTGTCCAGTAACACAATCAAAATGAAGAGGAATCATCCCTGACATAGATCAGTGGATAAATAGAGTTTGATGGGAAAAATTTAATTCGTTCATAGCTGTTTGGGAGCTGTAGAAGGCCTGACATTCTTACCAGATGCTCTGGTATAGGTAGACTGAACATGTCGAAGTTTATCAGAATCAGTGCTAATGTTCAATCAATATTTTCTCCCATATGTCTCCTTCTAATAATAATAACTATAGTTATTATTAATATTTTAACTGTTAATATTTATTGCATGATATCTGCCACTCACTGTGCTAGTCCCTTTACATGTATTATCTCATTTAATCCTCAAAACAATCCCATGAGGTTAGAATGATTATATATTCCCATAAAATAATAGCATAGTTCCATTTTACAGATAAGGAAACTGAGGCACAGAGAGGTTAAATTGCACAGGTAGTTAAGTGGCAGGAGCCAGGAGTTGAACTTGGGTTTGTGTACTCCAAAATTCACACTCTAACCACATTACCTGGTGCTTGCCCAAACAGCATGGTGACAACAACAGGAAGAAAGTGATATAAAAGAAGAGGAGTGATTTACAAGAAATCATGTCGCCAGGTTCCCATCTCCCAATCCCAAGGCCCTATCTAGATTTAAAATAAGAAATATTTCTTTGAGAAACTACTTATAGCAGCTATCATCTGACAGAGGTCAAAGATTTTCTCCTAATTTTCTTATGAAGTTCAAAGCGGCTCCTTCATAGCAGTGTTACCTTCCACCTTCTTTAAGGCTCCTGAACTTGGAGGAATCTGTGACGTCAGTGTTGATGTCCGCTTAGCGGCGAGACTCTGGTAGAAACAGATTTTAACTCACGATCAACAGGCTTTAAAGTCTGTGTTACTGAGGCATATCTGACACTGCCATGTTGAAGAACAAGGATGGCTGGAAGCCAATTCTTAAATTCCTTTGAGTGACTGAGGTGGAACTGAAGTTCAAGTGCAATTTTCCAGGAGCCTGATACAATAGTTGCTGTGAAATCATTCTTTACACAAACTTTTTGAAATTTTGTTCAGCATGAATTCATTTTATAGAGTACAGACAGAACTGCTTTTTAATTTATACAAATACAGACAATGGAAGAGCAGTCACAACACAATAAAAGCACTGGGGTTACTTCAGTGTACTGAGAATGCACATCACAGAGTTGTCTGATTTCTGTTATTTTCCTGCTGCCATTAAATTCATGCCTTGGTAACTCCTCCAGCTCTGTTTGCTGATACCTACCATTACTTGGGAAATTTCTCATTGCCTAGATCTGCTCCCAATCAAAGGGTATGCTGTTCTCTATTTGCTATGTCATTTGCTAATTTTGTTCACTTATGCTACATTTTTCCCCCTGCCTATTTCACCTGACAGAGACCATCTGTATAGACACAACAGGTTCCAAAGTACAGGGGAGAAAGCTGGAACTTATTCAGGCTCACTTTATAGACTGTGATTTCTTACAGAAATACTTGGTGTGAAATGGGCATGTAACCAGGCAATACGCACTTACCTGGTTCCCACTGTATGTACTACAGAAGGCCCCTCAAAATATTTTGGAAGTTCCATTTTGAATGGGTATAGAATCCCCAGAAAATATATAGAAAATTAGGTTTAATTGATCTGTTAAAAAGCAAAAGGAAACACACAAAGGCGCAATATGTCATTGTTTAAACTCATATGGTCTTGTGAGTGTGTGGGTGTATATGTGTGTGTTTTCCAAGATCCCTACGTAAATCAAAGTCTAATTATCTGTGATTGGAGTCTCCATGACCTTAAACATGGGGACTAATTCAAATTTTGCTAATTTATCCATTTACAAATGAATAAGATTTTGTGGTAGTTTTAACTCATAATTTTTTTCTGATTAAATGACCTATAGCCAGACAAAGCAGTTCCATGTGAACTCTGATAGACTGGTAGCGGCTATTTGGAATGCTGTGCCGAGGAGGATTCCGAGGAAGCCCTGGATTCAGTGGGAAACAGTGCCATCGTCAATCAGAAAACTCCTAGCCATGGAGGGGGAGAGGTAGTAGAACTGTAGGGCTTATTGGCCATCCATGGTCCAAGCCCTCCCTCATCATCCCTTCCAGCATCTTTTCCCTACACCATCTGTGGTTGAAGCTGTATTGCTCTAAACCCCATTCTCCATTATAGCACCACTTTGCTGCCTAATTTGATTTGTATCCAGACTTAGTTCTCCAAGATCAAAGGGCTACAATCTATTCTCCATCCCCAAAGAAG